AGTGTATAACTTCCCGAAACTTCGGCCATCGTTCGAGACGACGCTGAGTCTTCTTGAGATTGCCTACCTCCACGGATTCGATCACTGCTCAGACCAATTGATCTCGCGCCTTGCAGGCTTTGGACAGATATTCCTCGACCAACAGGGAATGCTCAGCAAGGTATATTTGTGAGAGCTTCAGTGCATTAGTCATCTAATCTTCACAATCTTTCAGATTGCTGACGCTCGTACAATTGCCGCTCTCTTCTCAGCTGCTCCAAAGGATAAAATAGTCGTAAAGAAGTTCATACATTGCCTGACATCGGTGGGAAGTAGGTTAGTGCCCGTTGATTTGATTCTAGATAACCTTCAAACTTGGGCGACAATATTTCTAGATTTTTGCACTATGTTAGCACTAGCTATCTTTGAAAAGATAAAAGCAAGTTAAATGGATGACGATTCCAAAACCTTAAAAACTTATAAAAATCTTAGAAAGGTCTAGGGTTCTATATCCTACTCATTCTTTGATGCTTCTCTCAGCAGCTTGTTGTTTCATAATTTTTTGGGGAAATATAAACCTCATTTTTTAATTTTAAAGTTCATTTAATAGGCTATCCTAGTCCAGTTGTGATAAACAATGCTTTTGCGCAACCTAACGTAACAACTGAGCAGTGACAGTTGTGTACTTTACTTTGCACCTTGAGGTGTGAAGCTGTGTAATCTTCAGCGCACTGCCGCATGAATCTGCAGTAATAGTTTCAAAACATTTGTTAGCCTAAGATTGCTAATTATCACAAATGCACCAATCAAGAGATAAGGTGGTAATCAACTTGAAAAATTCTGTTGTAATCTCGCAAACCTGCAAAATCTAAGCTCAATTTCACAAATTCACTCCAGAAGTGGAGGAATGACGTTCATTATTATCATGTAAGGTCCTCTTAGCTTTCAAAGCACATAACGGATAAAAAAAGAAGACAATAGCTCTAGAAATTTAACATAACATTTGCAAAGCATAAGCCAACTCTAATCTTTATGTTTGTGTGCTTATCTGCTGGGCTCTTTTGTTTGAGACTTTTAGTTTGCTTTCATTACTCAGTGTTTTGTGAACACGAGTTCTGCAAGATAATCAAGTTTTTGTGCTAAATCAATCCATGCTCTTATCAGGAGTTGGTACTTATTGGTTTAGCATATTTTGCTATCAACTAATAGATGACTTGATAATCTCTCTAATTCTTGAGATTCTCTCTGGGTTTGGATAATATCTTTATTTCAATAATGCAATGTGAATTAGTTCAGGTTAATGTCATATTCCGGTGCAAGTTTTAGGCAGCAAAGAAAGTGCACTCCCTAAGTGTTTATGCTAATCTATTTTTCAAAATAAAAATAAACTTTGTTCATAATGAGGGGGATAAGAGTTTGAAAAGAGTGTTTGAGAAGCACTATAGAAGAATTGAGAACTAAATCTATTAAAAAGTAGAAGCTACAATTTTTAACTCATTATCAATCACTCAGACCCAGATATTGAATAAAAAAGTACAGAACGTTCTAATTCAAATCCCGTCGTGTATTTTGAATACGTT